GGGGAGAGAGAGAGAGAGAGAGAGAGAGAGAGAGAGAGAGAGAGAGAGAGAGAGAGAGAGAGAGTTGGGGGGGGGGGGTGTTCCTGACAGAAATGACGTCCTTCGTCGATTCTAAAAGGCAATATTCAGCAGAGTCTGCAATAGAGAGAGAGCCTATATGACTACTTTGGAACAGAATCATGATCGACGCTATTGACAAGAATTTCCGGTGTGCAGAAGTCGCGTGCTCGCTAGCAAACTCCCGACAACGCTCAATTGCGCTGAACTCGGCCCGAGATCTGCCTCGTAGCTGTCCATGCCAGCTCTCTCCCTCTTCTAGCAACTATGCCAGCATTACATATCTCTAGGGACTACTATAGCCTGCTCGAGTCTCAGCCGGCGAGTGAGTGACAAACACATGAAATCCACTACACTTACTCGGCGGCTACCAAGGAAGGTCGTCAGCTCGTCACGCGATGAACCCCTCCGCTGGCCTTAGCATTTCTTCCACTTGATGGAGTAAATTTCCGTGAGCTTGAGATCCGTACTGTCCACGGTGATAATTCCGCTCTTCGGAGGCTTTCCCGGATGCACCCGCCCTTCTGTAACGAGGTTGAGGTTCCTCACTCTTCCACACTCGCTGCTAACGCCGTTCTCGAAACTCGACGTTTCCTCGAAGTTATCGTCAAACGGTCCAAAGAAATTGTACGTAGCCGAACCCGTACCTATACGACCAGATATGTGGTAGCCAATCCTCACCGTACCCTTCACCTTGGCGTCCAGCTTCGCGTACCCGCGCACCGTGACAGTCCCGAGAGTGTAGAAATAGCCAGGAGGATAATTAAGCACAAAGGTCAAGGTGCAGACCTTCCTCAGGTTAAGTTGCCCTTGGTCCGTCGTAGCAGTGAAGCTGCTGTACATGACAGTGAGCGCCTGCGCGTCGTTTGAGAAGGAGTACTTAACAGTTTCGCTCGAACAGCCATCACCATCAAAAGTAACACCATCAATCGTAACGGTTCCAGGCGCCGGAGCTTGAGCGTATCCGTGCACGGCCAACTCGAGGATGGTGAGSAGCAACAGCGTTGCCATTGCCGCCATGGGAGAGAACGACCGGAACCCTTTCTGCATCGTCACTGTCGCCGTCTTCTTCTTCCGGCCGCTGCGCTCTTCACGAAGTTGAAGACGAATCGAGGACAGCGATTGCTACCAGTAGGATGCTAACGAGCACACAACGCGTTTGGAAATCTATGGCCGCTGCTCTGCGCTGCGTCCAGGAAAGGAAAGACTTAGCGCCTGAGCGTCAACCCCTCCGCTCGCCTCCACGCAAAACGCCGAACGGCGGTGCTCCTACTCTCTACTCTACGTACAAACGGCAATGGAATCAGCCAACAGCGCCTCGATCATCGGTGGAGCGCAATTCCATGCTTGTGATCGTAGTGGAAGTGTGATGTGCTCTTTTATACAGAAGACTCCTAACGTTGTTGGGTCCCCGCGGACTCTAAGCTCACTCCTGATGTTGCACAGTCCCAGTGCCGAAGCATAGCTCAGGAATCTTCCCCAACGGCGAGCTAGCTAACCCCATCGCTGCCCCGAGTATTTTCCTGAATGCGTTCCACACGCGGGGACGTGCGTGGGCGACCAAAGACGTGTCGAATTGCCTTGCTGGTCGGCAGGCCCACTTTCTCAACACGCAGGCGTGCTGGCTCGGCACGCCCACTCTCTCCAAAAGACGGCGTGACCGATTTCCAAGTATTGAGAGGCCAGTTGTTCATTTGCCTTGCTCGTCTGAAGTAGCACACACGCAGGCTGAGGTCGGGGCAATTGTGTGATGACTAGGCACGCCCACTTTCTCCACAAGAGGGCCTGCGGCTGGGTAAGACAGATTTTCACAAACATCGAGGTTATTAGAATGAATAAGGCCAGTTGAGCGTGATAAGAAAGAAATTCCAATCAGGGCGAGGCTGGGTTGAGAAGCGCCTCAGGGCATACTCACACGAGGACCTAAACCCGGTTGTGGTCGGTCGGGATTTTTCATGAACAGCATGGTCACTTCCGGTGTTTTTTTTGTTACAACTATTCTCGTGTCACTTCGACTTTTCTTCCTCTTCCGTCCCTACTCTCCTTTCTTCCCGCTTCTCCCTTCTTTTTTCTATTTTCTTCTTCCGTCTTCTTGCTATTTCCATTGGTTGTTGTCAGGCGGTGAAAGATCGGTGTTACGAAGTCCCACTTGACCGAATTCTTCATTTCTGCAGTTGACGAAAAATCGACAGACTGACTTCAAAAAGCAATCATCAGCAGCATCATCCCTTGGGCAACAGAGGAGAGTAAGGGCCTCGCCACACGACTCTTGAAACGGGGAAATTTTTCAAGAGCTGTCAGACGTTCTCAAGAGTGGGGTTTTCAAGAGTTCCGGGCCCCTCGCCACACAGCACTCTCGAAAGCGTGATGGTGTTGGACAAACGATGGAAAACGACAGTGGTGCAGCTTTGGCTTTGGCGTCAGGAGAGTCCTTGGAGTGCCCTCGGGAGGACGCTTGAAAAGCGCGGTGCTGCAGGCTGGGCGTTTAGGAGTTTCGAGAGCTAGGGCCTCGCCGCCCGACTGTCGAAAATGCAATTTTCGAAAATGCAATTTTCGACAGTTTCTCTTCGCCACACAGGCTGTCGAAGTCGGAGACCGGAAAAAAATTCTCCAGTTGTCAGAGCATGCTTCTAGACAGCTCTTGTAGAAAGTTGTTGAATACCCAGCCTGCTACTCCCATGCTTTCAACACTCCTCGGATGAGGGGGGATAAGGTCGGGATGGACTTATGCTTGTCGTACTCTCTGGCCCGTTTGTCTTTTTCCATCTTGCACTCACAAGTGCGTGCACTCTACAGTGCTGTATGGCTAAAGGGGGGCAAACTGTGGCAAGGCCCCTACTCTCGAAAAGAGGTTCTGACAACTCTCGAAAGAGTTTTCGGGCCACAACTCTCAAGTGGCTGTGTGGCAACGGCTCCAACTCTTGAAAACCGGGTTTCAACAGTGGTGTGGCGAGGCCCTAAAACAGTGTGTGACAGCCGTGTTGCACCTAACAAAAAAAAAGGGAACCAAAAGCGATGACTAAGAAAGGACAGAATCTGACAGATTTAGGATCAGGCTTTCGTATTTGCTCTTTTCTGCCTTCCGGAACGTATCTGGCTGCATTTCCATCCAGTCGAAAAGTAAAAAGGTCCTAGTGTGAGTATGCTCCAAAGCAAAATTACATAGACAAGTTCTTTTTTTTCTTGTTTTTTTCTCTTTTTTTTTTTGTGCGGTCCGACAGACCACGGATCAGATCAGAACAGGTACTAAAGCCCGAGAAAAGTATTGCTTTCCAAGGGCCTCGCCACACCACTCTTGAAACCCGGTTTTCAAGAGTTGGAGCCGTCGCCACACAGCCACTTGAGAGTTGTGGCCTGAAAACTCTTTCGAGATTGTCAGAACCTCGTTTCGAGAGTAGCTCTCGAAACTCCTAAACGCCCAGCCTGCAGCACCGCACTTTTCAATCGCCCTCCCGAGGGCACTCGAAGGACTCTCAATTTTCGAGAGCTGTCGGGCCGTTATCCTGACTCCATTCGGAAAAAACAAAGCTGCACGACTGTCGTTTTCCATCGTTTGTCCAACACCATCACGCTTTCGAGAGTGCTGTGTGGCGAGGGGCCGGGAACTCTTGAAAACCCAACTCTTGAGAACGTCTGACAGCTCTTGAAAAATTTCCCCGTTTCAAGAGTGGTGTGGCGAGGCCCCAATCACGGAGAGCTTGGCTTGAGAAGGATCTCAGGGCATAGGGCCTCGCCACACCACTCTTGAAACCGGGAATTTTTTCAAGAGCTGTCAGACGTTCTCAAGAGTTGGGTTTTCATGAGTTTCGGGCCCCTCGCCACACAGCACTCTCGAAAGGGCGATGGTGTTGGATAACCGATGAAAAATGACAGTATAGCTTTGTTTTTTCCGAATGGAGTCAGGATAACTGCTTGACACCTCTCGAAAATCAAAGGCCCTTCGAGTGCGCTCGGGAGGACGCTTGAAAAGAGCGGTGCTCCAGGCTGGGCGTTTCGGAGTTTCGAGTGCTACTCTTGAAACAAGGTTCTGACAACTCTCTAAAAAGTTGTCGGGCTACAACTCTCAAGTGGCTGTGTGGTGACGCGTGCAATGCTTGAAAACGCAGTTTCAAGAGTGGTGTGGCGAGGCCCATACTCACACGCGGACCAAAAGTCTCTGAGTCACAAATTTGAGACATTTGGTTCGGCTTCTTTGAGGCGTTTGGTCCCACGGCCGGACCTCGTCCAGAAAGGACGAAGTCGCCACCTTGACACTTCGCATTCAGGGCAAGTGCACCCGTGGGAGTTTCGCATTCAGGGCAAGTGCACCCGGTCACACGTGGGAGGACCAAACAAAAAGATGGGTTGTTTTAATTTTTTTTTTTCACGCTTGGGCCTTGTTTTCAACGTAAATGTTCCTGGTCACACTTTCAGTTGTTCGGCGGGCTGTCTTCTTCGTCTACGATTCTCTTCAATTCACAAGAACAGGAAAAAAAAAACGAAAGGTAATTTGAGATCACCTCCGAAGGTGGTCTCAAAAAGGGTACGCCCACGGCCCGGCAGGCCGCTGACAGAAGGGTCACGGTTTGAGGCATTTGGGTAGCGAGCCTCTCCAGTGTGACCCGAAAAATGACTCAAATTTTGGGATTTTGGGTCTTTTGCTCCTCGTGTGAGTATGCCCTGAAATCTCCGCCAACGCGGCCTGTGCGTTACATATGATTTTCTTTGTTAACAGGTGATTGTTAGAGCCTGGCGTCTGAAGTACCCGTACGGCAAGGCTCGTTCGACTATGCTTCAACCAGGGCTAGGTCACTAGCCCTGGTGCATGTCATTACTGTTCGGTCCACATCCCCCTCTATACTGGTAGGGTGACGGTCCTGAGTGCTGGTCACACTAAGGTAGGATAGTAGGGATAGGGGATACGCTAGGAGTATTGACGTGAGGTTGGGATGGGTGGTGGCCTTGCCTTCGCAGAGCAACCAGGGTAGACTACTTCCGGCAATCAACGTGTGCCTAGTAACCGGCCTCTACAACACCCTGGACTTTTACAAAAAAAAAAAAAAAAAAAAAAAAAAAAAGGAGAATCATACTGATCATGTAAAACAAGGACCCTTAATACAGGCGTTCCTAAGTGCAACGAAGTTGCCTCTACCAAGAAAATTCGGGAACGCCTTCATGTAGGCTAGCTCAGTAAGTTTCATGCCTGAGCTGCACCATGGAGATGCTGGGTTTAGTTCCTGTTGCCATCATTTTCAGCGTCCTAAGGAGGATTGGTGGCCACGGCCACGACTGGGGCAAGTTGTGCCACCCTGTAACACATAGCAATGCACGGGGCCAAGTGGAAGTGACTGCTCAGGTGCTGCTGTAGTGGATTGGGACACACCCAAATTGACCCAATGCACATCCTAAGGGCCTGGCTGCACTACTCTCCATACCCCAAGTTTGACGAGCCTGGTTGCACTTACTCTCCAAACTTGGCAAATGAAAAATATGTCAGACTGCTCCAAACTTGGCAAATGAAAAATATGTCAGCCTGCTCGGCACTCGCCACACTGTGGACACAAGTTGTGGTGAGTGTTTTCTGTTTCCCCGCCTGTGCACGGCGGTTGTGGAGGGTGGTGGTCCTCGGACCTCTCCACTAAACAACTTTATGGAGAGTGCACGGCTTCACCAGTGGAGATCAGATAGACAATATCTTTTAACTTTTCTGTAGAAGAAATATAGTGGCGAGTTAAGTGCAGCCAGGCCTCCAGTTCCACATTATTCTCATGTTTTTCTATCTTCACCCATCCGCCACGAATTGTGGCAGATGGACTGTAGTGCAACTTCGCCCTAACAGAGCTCTCGGGTTGACGAGGTTTCCTCCCATCTCTCAACAACCCGCACAGCCAATCCTCTGGATGTCGGAGTAATTAATGCTGGCAGGCATTTTCTCATCCTATTTCTTGGCATCTTCTTCATTCACTCTGTATATGGGACGCTGGACTCGTTTTCCAGCAGGTGAAAGCTCCCTACGAACAGATGGAGCCTCCCCCCGAGTAATAGTAATACCTGCTCTTACCAGTACCACTAGCACTGCAGGGGGTGTTTAAAAAAAAAAAAAAAAAAAAAAAAAGCTCAATAAGGAAGTTCAATAAGTCATGATCATGACATATAAT